CCTTCTTTTATTCGCGACTTATAGAATTTTTAAGTTTTTCCGAATTTTCACGTTGTATGGTCTTACCATGGCCGATTTTTGAAATCCATAGTTTTATATAAAAACAACTGAAGTTTTCGAAGCTGAAGCTGCTTTGAGACAAGGGGGAAATAGCAGTTTCGGTATGTATGGTATGTTGTTTTGTTACGCGGTATGTAACGTGTGTTTTCGGTATGAGAACTCAGATTTTCAATACATGATTTAGTGGTTTGATTACATTTTTTAGTTGAAAAAATTTAATGAAAATAGAAAGTAATCAACTGGCAATAGATCGTGTATTTGAATAAAAGACTACTGCTAACTTGGCAGAGAACTGACATACGCTCGTATGTTGACGTTTATTTTTACATATCATGAAAAACGCGTAACTCTGCTACCGGAATCTCTGTGCTTTACCATTTTTTCTCTTTTTGTCTATCCTATAATTTTCGGAAAGAATATCGTAGAATCCTGGAAAGCGTCTTGTTTTGTAGAATAAAGTGCGTTCTTCAAAATCTACCACTAGCTCAGTTCAAAATAATTGACGCTTTTTATGCTGTACTTAAAATACGAAGAGCCTCAAAAACATTGTCGTTTGTTTTTAGGGCTTTTAGTATTTCGATTGTAACCCAAAAATCGTCAATTATTTCGAATTGAGCTAGTAGTGGATTTTGAAGAACGCACTTCATTCTACAAAACAAGACGCTTTCCAGGATTCTACGATATTCTTTTCGAAAATTATAGGATAGACAAAAAGAGAAAAAAACGGTAACGCACAGAAATTCCGGTATCAGAGTTACGCATTTTTCATGATATGCAGACCGTAACCGTCAGGAAAATATAAACCAAATGCGGTGGATCATTATAGACATGCACGGTCCCATTTATCTGGAGCTGTTGCAGAAACATGTGTAAAAGTAAACTACTTAGTAGTGAAAAACTTTAGAAAATGAATAAAAACATCAAAGTTGTGCTGAATTTTCGACTTTTACACATATAATCGCTTCCTGTTCTGATTGCATCGGTTGCGAAACCGCAATTAGTGTATGACTAGATCATTTGGAAACAATTCCCTTATTAATCACTTACTACTGACACAAAAAGGTATTAATAGTAAACCAATCTGAACAGTAGGTAAGCCATTTTATGAACATGAAATAAGATGGCAGCTTAATTCCTAGCATTCATGAATTTGCAAAGATCAGAAGTCCTCCGTATTTCTCGTGTGTGACTGGTATGTGAGCGGTCTGTAGTGGATATGCGATTGGTATGTCAACGGTATTTTTTTCCACTATTAATACTGCTTTTCTCCCCTAGCGTCGAGGTCTGTTATGATTTAGAAAGGGAAGAAATTGGCTTTAGCTTGATTCTGGTGCAAAGGATTTCTAAAGATCTTCTGGGAAACTAGACTTTAAAAACATTGATATAGTTCATTCAACGAGATAACAAATTACACTACTTATTACAGATATTATTGCAGATATTTCGTTAAGGGAGTTCCCCTCAGAAATGGTGATTTTCGGTCAGAAAATCGGTTTTGAGATAAGCACATGGGAAGACAGCCTGAAGTGTCTACTTTCAGAATCTGTATCGTTTTCGGTTATATAAGTGATTTTTCGGGGCTTTCGAGCAAGTTTTCTAGGAGCCCCGGAAACCTGGTCTTCAGATATTAGCTTTTTCCTGGACACTTATGTAATTAAATTTTTTCTGAACGCACGGATTTGTAGAGCAAACTTTTCTGATCAGAATAAGATCTCGCACAACTTGTGTGATCTTGGATCAAAACGTTAAAAGTATTTTGCTACAAGTCCTTAAACTGAGCATTTTATACAACATTTTTTCTACATGTTATACCTGAATTCCCAAGCTTTTTCATAGCGGTTTGTTGTAGAGAGTTCATTCTTTTTCTGTTTAAGGAGGAGGATGGGTAACCACCCCCGTTTTTTTCCATAACTTTGTAGAGCGCATCAAGCTGTATATACCCTGAAGTACTTTCGATGAACAGGCTTGTAATTGCTGAGAATGAAATTTTTACCAATTTCATACGATATTGATCCTCTGTTTAAAAAATTTATGAAAAATTCATAACTAAAGCTGGAGTTCTTATTGTTACGCAGTTGGACAGAGCACATTAAGTGGCATAGACCCCAAACTATAATGAAAATTGAACCACCTGTGTCTGAGAAAATTAACAATTTTCATTCTCGTGCAGCTTGAGCCCCTAAAGTAATTTTTCGAAACTTATGGAAGCATTTCAAAAATAATGAAGCATTTTGAAGAAACATTTTCGCTGATAAAGTTGGTAATGAAAAAATCGAATTTTTATGCAAGAGCGATTTCATCTATTATAGGTTTTCAGTACATGTTTGAATTTTTTCGAAAAGCAAACATTGCCACGAGACTCAGCTTGGATAGCCCGTGTTGCTATTCGTTTTCGAGATTACCATACCTAAGGAAATATCAATCGTTGGGCTTCGAGGAAATATAATGGCGTGCCTAAACCGCGAAAGATTAAGAGCTCGCTTAGTCCCCATTTTTTAGAGGACATTTTAGGCTATTATACCTATATGAAAAACACAGGAATCACTCTGGTAAGTATTGGAACTACGACCTAGTCTTTCAGAGACTATTGAGATATACCAACTGCAGATGGTCTTTTCTGGGATATTTTTATGTGAATCTGTAGCTAATTATCTCTTCTATGCAATGCTGAAAACCGCAAGTCTTCGGAGCGCTTTATTCAAAAATTTTTAAAGAAATAGCCACAGCGTTCTTTTTTAATAATATATGAACTTTTTGTTATGATGTGCCTTCCCCGGCAGCGCATAAGGTTCATTCTCTCTCCATTCTGCTCTTGTACCATTCTTGCTCAATTCTGTTATTGCGCAACTCTTGTTTCATTCTTTCGTTTTCGTTTCCTTCCGCAGTGTATTTTCCCAACTCTTTCTGTTCTTGCGCAACACTTGCGTCAGTCTGTGATGTTCCCAACTATTTCTGTTCTTATGTAATTCATGAGCAACCCTCGTAAAACTCTTGTTTAACTTTGTACTATATATAGCTGTTCATTTGCTTCAAATAAAGATATCGGAGTGAGAGTTGATTCTCACTATAGCTTCACTTTTACGATTAGAGTTAGCCACTAGAGGATCCATATCCTCACACTTTTGATTCATATAAAAGCTCATGTATGAAAAAATTTCGAAAAAAACCTACATTCATGACAAATTAAAAAACAAAATACAGGATTTTATAGCGCTTGAGTAGCTGATTCAAATGATATATAATTCGTTTGAGCGAAAGAAGTTGAAGAAAAAAATAATGCAAACGATCAGACTACAATAAACTGGCATCAGTTTTGGAGAAAAAATTTTGATCTATTAGATAGAAATTTTTTCTTCCTTTTTTACACACATAATAACTATGAATAATTGTGCATCTAAACATACTTGAGCCAAATTTTTGTCATTATTCCCGAATGAATTATCAAATATCGAAAATCAGTCGCTAAATCGAAAATTTTGACCGAAGTCCTACGTTAAAAAACTGATAACTTCACAATATTCATAGAACAGCCGAAATTTCTTGAAGATACATAGTATTCAACGCACTCTTCAAATCGGCATAATTTGAGGGCAGATTTGTGGTGATTACCCCCTCCCCCCTTAAAAGAGCAAAAGAAACTACATGGGCTGACTGGCGCCGATTTTTGAATTCGATCTTAGTTTTTTGTCAAAACTAAGGATTTTTAGAAAAGCCGGAAGGATTTTTCTGGTTTTGGAGGTTGTTGTTTGCCTGGAAAGGCTTAACTGAAAAATAAATGCCGATCAGTCCATCTAGTCAGGTGTCTAGTTTAAAACAAAACAAACCCTGTCTCTCCAGCTTGAAGTATATTAAAAGAACTTGGCAAAAGTGTCGGAGTCCTTTTTGGATCTTGATCTCTGGAAAACTCGTAAATCGTAAGACTTGGAGTTCACTCCCATAACTCGCTAAACCTAACATTTATGGAAAATTTCGCCAAGATCGGATGTACAGTGTGAGAGATAATTTCTGAGGGTGGGTGGGGGGTCTTGAATACAGAATGAATTGTGTCAGCGATGGAGCAAAATAAAAGAAAAAGAATGTTGTACCTTTGTTGCTCGGATTAAACAGCATAAAAAAGTGGTTTTATCTATTAACAGAAACACTAGATAGAATTGCAAACTGCCGGCGCCAAACCCAGACGGTCCTCTTTGCTCAAAAGAATTCAGTTATCATATTACATTTTAATCCGCACAAACTACTTTTTCATATCCAGTTTCACCGAGAAACAAGGAAAATAGATTTCAGAAATTAAAAACAGTGATAAAGCAGAACTTTCTGCTAACATTCTCAGTATTAAAGGACAACGGTAGATATAAAAAATTTAGTACAATTGCGGGTGCAACACCCTTAACTTGACTTACCATGATTAAGAGTTTATTATAAATATAATTTCTTATACACGAATTTTCGACCTATTTATACGATCATTGTCAAGTTTAAAAAAAATCGTACAGAGTGACGACATTGAAGTAAAAAACAAATCTAAGAAGAATATATATATATATATAGTGTGATGTAATTATCTTTTTTCTATTTCTTTGTTATAACTTATCTCTCTATTTCATTATTCTGATTTTCTCCTTTCGTCCATTGGTGTCCTCTCGATTCGTCCCTAATTGATTTCTCAATTCGTCCGTTAAAATTTTTTTCTTGATTCGTCCCTCCAATGCACGCTTAGGCTAAATTATTCGGCTTTTAAATTTATTTAATAAACTTTGTAAAAAGACCAAAACTAATAATTAACAATATATAAACAGCTACAATACCATTGTGCCCACAAGACAAACCAATTATTCGTGAAGATATCATGTTTTAATTGGGGTTGTTTTAACAGTTCTACCACATTTAATAGCCAGTTCAACATTTGTTATTGTTCCTTTTATGTGTTCTTCATGTAATTCTTATAACTTACTGTCAATATTATTGTATAATTTTTTTCGTTTCCTTATTTGTATATCTGATTCTTCAGCTCTATGATATTGATACAAATGTTCATCACGTAACGATTCAATAAAATGATAAATATGTGGGTGTTTTGGAAAATTACTTTCCAAACAACTATTGTACCCCTCAACATCATTGTTTGTCCTTGGTAAATCATTAATTATTGCATCATGCATATTCCATATATGAATACCATATAAACTAATATCTACATAGGTTTGAACTAAATAATCATTAAATTCAGCAGCATTAACATCATCTGGAGTGTATAAATTCATAATATCCGTCCAAGTACTTTCAACAATGTCAGCTGGTATTAATGCTAAACCAATGGCATCAAGAAACCTGCCTTTTTATGTTTCGGAGAATTTTTGTGTACTCCTCTACTGAATATCCGTAAGTTTATATAGGATAGTGAGCTTCTTTTTTTTAAGCATCATAAATGGCTCTAAATTGTAGCTGTTTATATATTGTTAATTATTAGTGTTGGTCTTTTTACAAAGTTTATTAATAAATTTAAAAGCCGAATAATTTAGCCTATGCGTGCATTTGAGGAACGAATCGAGAAGGGACGAATCAAGAAAAAAATCTTAAGGGACGAATTGAGAATAAAAATTTACGAGGGACGAATTGAGAAATCAATGAGGGACGAATCGAGGCTAAACCAGAAAAAACATACCGCGAAATGGTTCAGGTCTATATTCTATAAGCGACGAGAAATATCACGCCATACAAATGGACGAAAGGAGAAAATTAGAATAATGAAATAGAGAGACAAGTTATAACAAAGAAATAGAGAAAAGTTAATTACATCACACTATATATATGTCGCAGTAGAATTTAAAATTCTACTAGTTGAAATTGAAATTTCATTTTCTACTAGGAGAAATTAAAATAAGCGGCGATTTTAAGTTGCACTAGTAGAAATTGAAATTTTAATCTCTACTATAGGAGAATTTTAAATTCTACTAGAAAGTTTAGATAACGGAAG